TCCAAAAAAAAAAAAAAAAAAGAAAGAAAGAAAGAAAGAAAGAAAGAAAAATTAAATAATCAGGCTGAGAAACTAAGGTCTCTGAAAAGCTCAGATTCCTCAGACTCCTTTCTGAATATGTGGCCACACTGAGAGATAAACAAGGGACTGGGGGGAGGGGGGATAATAGGAGACGGAAAATTAAATCTACTAAAGATAGAGAATGGGAGCCATCAGGTGCCATGATGGTTAAGGGTACTGGATTCCCAGATGGCCAACTGGGGTTCGAGTCCCAGACCTGGCAGGTTCCTTTCTTGCTTCTCCTTCTCTACTGCTCTGTCCCTCCCTCTCTGGTCAAATTAAAACAAATAAAGTTAAATAAAGTAATTATTTTTTTAAAAAAAGAGAATGAATAAATAGATGATAACTGCATGGCTAACTTTTAAATGGCTTTCTTTACTAGGTTTAAGTTTAACATCCTCATGAGGTTTGAGGCAGGAAGTTGTTGGATTTTGCACTTGTGATTACTATTATCAATATTCAAAAAGTCAAACATGCTAGGTCATGGGCCAGTAGGTGGAATGGTGGTTGGGGGTGCTGGATTCCCACATGGCCGACCCCAGATCAAGTCCTGGACCTGGCGGCTTGCTTTTTTGGTTTTCCTTTCTCTCTCTGTCTCTCTCTGGTCAAATTAAAAAATAATAATAAGTGGAATTAAATAAATAAATAGATAACTCTTTTAAAAAAACATGCTAGGTTAAAAATCATTTCTTTTTCTAAAGGAAGTTATTTTTAAAATAATATATAAGCAAGATACTTATTGGTAAAACTAATCAGTAGAACCGCTGGTGAATTATAACTGCTATGAGGAAAGAAAGTCACAAAAATTAATGATAACCCCGGTATATATTGAAAAATAAAAAAATGATGGGGCCAACCAATGGTGTAGTGGTTGAGGTGTTGGAATCCCACATGCCAACACTGGTTCAAGTCCTGGATCTAGTGGCTTGTTTTCTCGCTTTCCCACTCTCTCTCTGCTGAGTACATGTACCTTCTAGCAAATTATAAAAATAATAATAATAAACATAGTTAAATAAATAATTATTTTAAGAAAAGAAAATTAAGTTTACTACTATTTTATTAGTAAAATGTAGGCATACATATGAGGAGTTTTCAAAAAGTTCATGGGAAATGGTCATTATAAGAAAGGTCTGTATGAGTTTAAAATGGCTTTTACACCAAAATAAACTATTTTAATTTCTTTTTTTCATGAACTCTTTGAGGTTCCTCTTTTTTTTGGAGAGGTTTTGCTAT